TCTGGATTGAGCTCTACAATTGGTCTCCTTACGTTGACTTGTGTGAAGACACTTGACTCTTCGTAAGGAACACGAGTCGCATATAGGTATCTTGTGTCCTCAGGTGGGAACAATATCCACAGCTTCCTTTGGACAATAAAATGAACACAGACTGTAACAGAGTTCAACAACTCAGTTCTTTTGTCCAGAGTAAAGCCCCAACATCAGGAAAAGAAATGACCCAACATGGGACACGAGTGGGATGTCAGATTCTACCAGCCTTAACAATCCTGATAGAATATGATGAAGCTAGTTTACAGCTGCAAACTTTGATTGATAACGGTTAGCTTGTGTCATTATACTAAATGCTTTGCTTCCAGATTTGTAGTAATTATTGGATATTTACTTAAATTCAACCCAAAAAACCTAGCTTCACATTTCTTTTAAAAGAAAAAAGTTTGGAAACATAAAGTATCCACCTTTACAAAAGTATGGCTTGAGAGATAAAAAAAACTATCAAATACAAAAAATTGAGCATACCACTAAGACACTCTATCAGAGCTATGAAAACAAATTTGCCAAAGATGCCATATGCATACTACCTTTTGTTTTGAACCAGAACTTCCATGCTCAACGAGCATTATCTTAAAATCTTTTGCTGTACCTAAACAACCATAGCAGAACACATAGAAGATTTTATTTTCAGTGGTTTTCAAGCCAAACTTTATCCTTTGTCATTTGCCACGGTTAACAAATCATTTTTTATGTCTTTGACTCTACCTTCCTACCAGCTGAGTGACCAGATTGAAGCCATAGGTGTCTTGATGACCAGGGGTGTTCGCACCTTCACTGCTCAGCCATATGGTGCTGTCCTTTCCATCAAAGTTGCCAAGTCCGAACTCTTTCCACACCACTGAAAGCAATCACATCAAAGCAATGCAGTGGACATAAAAATTCATTGGAACAAACAAAAATATATCTACCGTTGCCCTTGTGATAATACCTACTAACTTCAGCAGAGTAAATTTTACAGGCAAAACAAAAGATTTGTTTGGTTTCATCCAGGTTATTTGATTTTATTTCAAACATTTTTAGGAGCATTTTCAGTCAAAATTCAGACATGTCTATGTCTAAACATATGAAAAGGATAATTCAGAATTGATTAATCAAATACATTTTTGGGGGGGTAACATGTAAAATTTACCATCCTTATCACAAGGGTAATTCTGCTGTGCTAATTAGACTCTTCTCATAGCACATTCTTGTTCGTGAAATTTGCAAACTCCACAAAAGACTGCTTTACAATGAAAAGGGAACTTGACCTTGACTTTTTCTCTGCCATTTACAATTATGGGCTACTTTCTTTTTTTTTTTGTTGAAAAAATCTTTGCCACAATACCAGCAATTGTCAAATCACGTTTTTATATCTTCTCATCAAATGTTAAAGAACATATGCACAAAACTTAATACAGTAATGGGTTCCAAAATACGGTAAGCTTTAGACATTCTAACATCTCACTACATATGTCGCAACATGGAGGAATCAAGGAGCTCATCAATTTTTGGGCATATGGGGTTACTGGTATCATCTTAAAGCCTGCTCATTTGCCTTGCTTTGGTGAAAAAAATATCCATATATGTTAAATAGAAGTCGAAATAATTGCGATTGAAGGAGTCAGGGTCGCCTGGTTTCAGAAGTCAAATTAGCGAGAAAGTGGCCTCCGAAGTTTCATAATTTAAATAGCTTCAGAATCCTTGAAAACTGAAAATTGACATTTTTTGGTGCCATTAATCAATGTTTTTCATTAAAATTCACACAGAAATGTATTTTTAAATGAATACAAAATGTGTTGAGCCCCCCCCCCCCCCAAAAAAAAAAGATCAGTTCGATAGGAGACAGACTTTTAAACAATTGCGACGTGAATAACAGCCGGTCAGTTCTACATACCACACGACGCCCCCGCTCTCTTCTATGTTGTGCTTATTGGTCAGTCGAAGGTTCGTTTCAGATATTTTTTTAAAAATTAATTTTAAAACACCCAAAGTGGAGACCCGCCTCAAAAATGGCTTCTTTGTGTCTTGGTGGGCATTAAATTCACAGAAGAAAAAACCCCCAAACAAAACCGAATAAATGGTAGTGAGCAAGAAATTTGACATCGTGTTTGTTATGGCAGGGGACAAATGGATGAGGGGGCTCTCGTGGCCGAGAGGTTAAGGTGTTAGCCTCTCATTCAAAGGCCCCGGGTTCGAATCCGAGTAGCGACCGAAAAATTTTGTTCTCTAAAATTGTCTCCTTTCACCCCCTTTCGTGCTCTCTAGCAATGCTCTGTCGTCTGCTTTCGTCTCCTCCTTCTGCCCCCTCCTCTGGGCGCCTGACTCTTTTTGAAGCCTTTCTACTGCTACATGAATAACTCATTGGCTCCTTCTTTTGCTGTATTTCAGCCACACTAGTGATCTTCTGTTAGGAAAGATCTACACCCAACCTTCTCAGACAAGGGCGAAAAATCTCGGAGGTCCTGTGTGCAAGTTGCGCATGTTAAAGAACCCTTGGTAGTCTAAAATCGATAAGAGTAGGGTAGGCTTCGGCCGCCACCAGGGCAAAATTCAAAATTTCCGACCAACTGAAAAAGTTTAATGTGCCCCGCGCGCTCATTTGACTTATGCAGTTTTGAGCGCCGTAAAATTGACTGACGTCTTCGCTGGAACCGAACCCACCACTGATAGTTCATTACAGGGAAGTAAGCAAGGGATGACAAAGGGCGTAAAATAATTACACGGTTACGTCCCTTGTTCAATCTGACAAGTTCTGAGCTTGCTGGTCGGTAATATTTAATTACTTCAGTTACTAAACCTTTCATTGTTCAATGCACATGGCATGGCAGTCCAAATTGGTCTTTGTTGTTGCCAAATTTACCTCCTAGAGCAACAAAATAATCACCTCAAAAGCAGAACATTTGGTTCTCCAAAGGAATGTTGGGTAGAAAGTAGAGAAAGAGAGAGAGAGAGAGAGAGAGAGAGAGAGAGAGAGAGAGAGAGAGAGAGAGAGAGAGAGAGAGAGAGAAATTGGATTGCACCTGGACTCAGAATTTAGCACTTTCGAGTGTCAACTTAGACAGCAATGACAACAATCGACTCCAGTGGCGCTAAAACCTCTTGTCCCAAATATGCATGGAATATAAGTGAATAGTGAAACTGAATGAAAATATTACCATACAAAATACAAACTTGCTCAGATAAAATACAAAGAAAACAATTAATTTTAGTTTTTAGAACAGTTGTAATTTTTTGTTTCTTCCATAAATTACATTCAAAACCATACACACTTCAAATATAGGTACATGTTCAATGTACAACCAGAAGCATACACAAGCACACAAACATGCTCAAATGTGCACACAGTAAGTATATCAGATTAAAGCAACACTCACCCCTACCCTTTGAGTCCATATTTATAAAATATGGGCCATATATGAACAGTTTTGCGACAAAATAGGACATATCCATTTTTCCAGGTTTTAGGTAAATAATGATTTCTACGCTTCCTTTATTCCCTGATAAACTTAAGCATTTTTGTTGCTAGATCTAGGGCAAAGATGGTGTCAAGCTTAGCTGATACTGATATAAATTTGCTGTATGATTAAATCTTTGATTCTTAACTTTTACATTGATGAGATCTCCTCACATTTTTAACAAAATGCTACATGTATCCACATTCGATATTTTTGACACAATTATTAAAATCCATATCAACATTTTTATCAAGTCATACAAATTTCAACAAATCAACTTAAAGTATGACTAACAATACCAGTATTCATAAAACTGCCTTTGTAATGGTAACAAGTAACAATAACAATAGCTTGGGTGATTTCATCAAAATATTTGTATCCGCTAATCGGAAAAACAAAATATTTCCCACACAATCCTTATTTTTGACTGAATAGCTACATTAATTTTTTAAAAATTCAGCATCAAGCCATAATGCAACTTCTCTTTGCTTTAAATTTCAGAAAGAGGGATAACTTTATTAAACCTGAAAAGCTTAGACCCATAAAAATAATTAGATATAGGTCAAATCCGGAAAGGAAAGAACCACAACACACCTTTATCCATCACAACGAAAGTCACATGACACAAGCAAAGAACATGATTAGCATGTAGACGATATGTCGCTATTCATTAAGTTAAGAAAAGTCGACTGCTTTTTCCACAATTTGTTAAAAAAACAAAACCATCACATGCTACAGTTCTTTCAAATAGGAAAAACAGAGCAGATATAATTATGTTTAGCTCTGCATTTCCTCTTGCCAAGTGTGTCTAGTCTGTCATATTCCCGACATGTCTAAGTGTCAAGCAATCCATTCCTTCCCTAGGCCAAGGCCATAGGATGTCATAACATTATGCTCATAAGATAATTGCATAATAAGTCATTTTTGGCCGGTTTGCAGTTTTTGGTCCTGAAATAGAGAGCAAAGCCAGCCGGGTAATAAAGTTCACTTGGGTAAAAAAAAAATATACAAATACAAAATCAATTGAGCATACCAAAATTTAATTAAATTTCACAGAGTCATTTGTTCGAAAGAAACATTCTTTTTCATTTTCTAAAAATGGCTAAAATGACTTTGGAATTTATCTTTTGAGTCTGACAGACAATAAGATGGAGCTAATGTGAGCCCAACCACATTTGTGCCAGGCCTTGGTTCTAGATGAAAATGTTCCCTGGGGCTTGGACAACTGATTGTAAATCAGTAAAGTCACAATATTTCTAGCCTATGAAGAGTTAAATGTCGAAAACAGTAATCAAATATTGAATTGGATGCATGGCATGGATAAACATTCATAAGAAAGACTTTCAGCTTTTCTGACAACAAATAAAGGTTTGATGTTGGAGCCATATTTGGAATAATATCCGCAACATGTATACGTCTCTCTTTCCCTATTTCTCTTTTATTTCCACTCTTTCTTTCTTACAGTATATTATGTGTTTCTGTCTCTTTCTTTTTCTTTGCGTATTTGTCTGCTTATCTCTCTGTTTCTCCCTCTCTTTATCAGTCTACCCCCCGCCCCCCTCACCACTCTCTTCTCTCTTCTCCAAACACATTTTTTGCTGATTGCTCTAAAACATCTGACTAAATTTCACACTGAACCACATAACGAACCTTACTAAAACAATAATTCTGTGCTTTTAAGTCAGGCAGAGTCATGGATCCACTTCTTCCTTATCCTTCCCCTTCAGACATAACGTACACTGTTCTTTGAAACGTGAGACGACTTCGGTAATGATGTCTGGATGTAGAACGCTGACAAGGAAGCTTTCAGCAATTTCTCTATCTGAGAGTCTGTTCAGGTCAGGGATATGGTCTGCTGCCAGAGGAAATGTACGTTCATCAGTTCGCGAACAGCCAGCTTTAGAATCTGATACGTCATTATCACTCTTTTTATCTGCAACATCCAAACTGCCAGTGGAGTTTTCCACCTTGTTAACAGACTGTGGGGTAGTATCAGTTTCTATAATATTGTCATTAGTCTTTGTCGGCAGTGTAGTGTTTGATAATGTGTCACAAGGTAATGAGGAACTTGATAATGCAGTAGCCACCATTTTGCATTTAAAAGACATATTTGGCCTGCTAAAAACATCACTGTCTTGGACAGGCAAAGTATCACTTTCCGGTTGTCTAGACGAGACACAATCAGAAATTCCTGATTCACCAGAGTCATTTGTTGCACGGTGCTTTATTCGGTGGTATCTACAAGCGCGGCATTTAGAGTACTCACATAATTCATCCAAAAACTGAAGATAAGAAGAAAATGTACACGGCTTTACAGAAACAATCTTTCGTTTATGTTCTCCGGTAGGAGCTGAGGACTGAATCTCATTTCTACTGTCAGAACAAGAATCTTCTCCTTTTCTCACAGATGTCTCTAACACAGTCTCACTTTCCAGTTTCGGGTGACGAATGGAATGCCCAGTCCTACTTTCGTTGTCATCGTTTTCATCCTTCTTTTCTCTCCGAGATATTTCTGAAGATAACTTTCTCTGTTTGGAAAGACTGTGAGAGCATTGCAGTGAACCACCCCATGTCCTCTTGGCCAAGAGAAGGCTGTGATCTTTTTCCCCAAACCCATAAGGACTTTCACAAAAAGAGATTTCATAATTCTTAATCGTATTAACAAATGATTGGAAATGACTTTCTCCTTCATTCACATCATGACTTCTTGAACACAATTTTTCATTGGCTTCTTCAGCAGATTCCATTTCTTTTTCATTCTTGGATACAGGAATCATAGGTGTCACTTTATCTGTGGAAAATAATCTTTCATTCAGTCTAGGAGATTCCATTTCTGTGACATCACTTTTCTGAGAAGTCACAACATCAACTTCATTTCTCGAAAACATATTCTCCTCAACTTTAGTAGATTTAGTTTTTGCCACATTTCTAAGTACAGTTGTTGCAGGATTATGTCCATCTTCCTGAAGTGGAGAGGTGACAGCTGACACACAGTTGTTAGAGACTGCTTGTAATAATGCAGTTCTAAGAAGACCAAAGTTCACATCTGCTGGGTACAGCGTCTGCAAAAGGAAAAATACAGTTTGTACAGGATATGATCCCAATATTTTCCTTTTCCTACATGTAAACACCATAAGCAAATAGACATTCAGAGTTGAATAAGCCACATGGGTAAAACCAAAATGAGACACAAATTGCCGAAGATATTCCTTTTAAGAAAGAAGTATACATCGCTTTGGATAAAACCATGATCCTCTCTCTTTCTCAAAGAAAAGCATAATAAAATACTGGGAAGTCAACAAAATTAATAATACAGTCAAAATAGTTTAAGACAGCACTCATTGGTGAGGAGAAAAGCGGTTGTCTTAGACAGGTGGACATCTTGGACAGTGTCATTAGAATGTAGAAAAAATACACAGTAGGAAGTGATCATTTAGACTGGTGATTGTCTTGAACAGGTTGCCGGTTGAGCAAGACTGACTGTATTTATACAAAAGATTATCTGGTAGCACATGTAGCTCTTCATAATAGCCTACTTTTGTATTTGATTTTTTAAAAATCTTATGACGAAATATATAATATGATTACAAATACCAAAAGCACATCTTTCCATGGAGTCACGCAGTAGGAACAATACTTTATTGAAGTTCAGCTCTTTCTAATGGTGGAACGAAAGCCCACTAATAGATTCCATGACTCTTGTCATCCATCTTGCTTTTCCCAAACACTGTAAGACCCTCTGTGTTGATGTGCTTTTTTAAAAAACTACAACAAACAAATGAATTCTTTTCTCGAACATCATCTTTGATAATGGTCCATATAATAAACCAGAGCATTTATCCACTTTGCTCGTCTCACCACAGAACCAAGGTAATCACAGGGCACTACTGGTAAAATTTATTCCTTATGAATTTCCTTCAGCCTGGCTGATGCTTGTTTTAATTTACCCAGCACTACACGGTCACCAGAGTTTTTATGTACTTCTTTATATATATCATGTATACACACCAACACCTCTGGTGTGATGTCTAAAGTTCTTCACCTGCAAGCAAGAGATGTGAATTCCATATCCAAGAGAGAAAGACTTATTTTTAGGGGGGAATATCTTCATCTTTCAGTTGGGAGAATCCCAAATATCACCAGATAGCCCTGACAGAAAGGCCTACAATAACCTGCCTCCCAAATGATCTTAATGATGTTGAAGGAGCATAACCTTTTATAATCATTACAATCACACAAGAATAAACAAAACGGCAGGTCTTTGACTTACTTCTGTTGGGTTCAGAAGAGAGCTCCTCACATTAGAGTCCAGACCGGTGTCGAGACATTGTATCAGGCTCGAGGCACAGAATCGGGTCACAGCCTCATGCAGCTGAGAGTCTCTGTCTTCCTCCTGTGAGTACAACCAAAAGACGAGGGGGAAAGGAGGGGATTTTGAATGTCTACACCCATTAAGCAGCAGGAGATAAATGTTTAAAATATGAATGCTCATGGTACAATATGACAGATTAGTATGGCCTTTTGGAAAGGTTATGTATCCCAAAATGTTCAGCTTCAGAAAAGAGAAGCACATGAACATGATAAACATCATTTAGTATTGGGAAAGAGATAGACAGATACACACAAACAGTAGGAGGGAGTACGCAAGAGAAGCGGGACCTCTCAACGACACCCTTTTTTTTTCATGTAGTTTTTTTTACATAGCCATGGACACAAATTTAGATCATCAAGGAGGCAGGCTTCCCACCCTGTCTGTCATGGCCAACCCGGGTGGAGTGGGACACAATATGCCAGCAGAAAGGCCAAGATACTCAACAATTTTCTCCCCACTCGGGAATCTAGTTGAGTCTTCTGTGAATGACAGCAAAGTGCCTACCTGCTAACCACAGATGCCGATTAACACCCTCTAACCACCTGTACTTCACTATGTATCCCCCGCCACAGGGATCTTACCCTCACTATCCAACCACATGAGCTCTTTTGTGTATTATCTTGTGAAAATTGCATTCAATGGTGAATATGTTAACAAAAAAATCCCACAAAATAGACTTGTAATCAGTCTTATAATGCATTTTTGGCAGTACTTCTACTTTAAACACTGTGATGGAAATTTCACATCTACAAGAACCAGTCACAAAGAAAATGTCAAATCTACACAGAATTTTCAGGACCCATATCATAGAAAATGTAATGTTTCTGATTTTTGAAACATCAGGCCATGGTACCTAAAGCTACAACTATTTCAATATATCTGTGATCAGGACTAGAATACAACAACAACAAAAAAGGAAAAAAAAAATACACTACCCTGAGTTGGATTGCAACAAAGTACTTTTTTAAAGTGACATGTCTTCGGGAGCACAATGAGTTTGGAGAAAATATCAAAACAATGGAGTGAATCTCGAGGTTAAAGTTAAAGGCGTTTCAAGATAAGTAAGGAGCCCACACAGCAGCAAGAGAACTGCTTAAAGAAGCTGTAACTTGAACTCACCACTGGGACCCACACATTGACACTGATGGCTGGGTCCAGGGACTCCACATAATGCCACCAGTGACGCGGGACGTACAAAGTTTGCCCAGGATGAAGTACAATGACCACTGGATGACTTTTCTGAGACCAACAGATGATAAAAAAGCAAAGTGAAATATAATTTATAATAATTAGACTAGATCTATAGAATAAGACTAGGCTCTAAATGATCTTCATTGATCAATGATAGAAATGAAAGAGTGTGAAGTAAGAAAACAAAATTCACCATGACCTTCACTTTATTCATTTTTTAGTATCATATAACAATTGACCAATATAATTCTACTGTGGGGAAATTAGGATTAACCCAGAGGAAGAACAACTCAGAAAAGTTTATAAAACATTTGTCAAAGCTCAACCTCCCACATAATCAACGCAGGTTTGTGCCCAAACAATAAAACAGAGGGCACAGGTTAGGGACACGTAACAAACCCTTTTAAGAAAAAAAAATGTTTGTTTAGTTATTTACCTTTAGGTTCAATGCTAATTTTGTTAAAAAAACAAAAAAACAAGTAAAACAAAGACAACACAAAAAAGGAAAAAAACAAAAAAGTGCATGTACTTAGAGCAGACAGAATATCATCAGTGCTAACAACACATAAAATATTAGGCTGACAAAAAAAACAACAAGTGTTCTATTTGAGAAATGAAGTGAAAGTTGTCCTACAATATCAAAACAGTTAACAATGCAAATGCATTCATTAGAACATGAGATTTGGAACATGTGAATCACTCATAATCTCAAACTGAATACAAATATAACTGCAAGCAGGGCTGGGATGCAATGAAAATGAATACCCACTGTGCATGAAAAATATTTTTTTTTAGTCTGAATAATATAATTCACACATTCACACTTTTCCATTAACATTCTTGATGGAATTTTCTTGTATATATAAGACACTTTCTTTCAGTCCATAAACGTTTTAGCATTCAAACTGAACTCTAAATAGTTATCCCTTCTTTGCAATTTTGACTTTTATAATTTTTTCAATTTTTGGGGGGCATGATGGCAAAAATAAGTTGAATTTTACTCCAACAATATGTTTATTTTACCAAATAAATGCTAAATAAAGAAACATAAAAGCAAATCTGAATAAAAATAAGTGTAAATTTTATATGCTTCAGGCTTGACAAGCGAAGCCATCACATATTCAACATTCTATTCCACTATTTTTTAAAAATTTGAGAACAGAAAATCATGGAATCATTCAGATTTAATGCAAGCATTCAACCCCCCCCCTCCCCCCCCCCTCCCCCCCCCCCAAGATTTAAAAAAAAAGAAAGAAAAAGGCAGAACAAAATTTTTAAAATTAAAAAAATTATGCAGTGTTTGAAAAAGTAGGCTACTTTCATAAAGACATAAACCAGTCTGTAAAAATGTCAAAGGTATACTCCATGAAACTAGTGAAACATTAAAGGAAAAAACCCCCAACAATCTCTCTTACACAAGGTCTACCTACACTGAGCCAGCAAGGTTATACAAGATCTATATTGTAGTGACAAACTCAGTGTTACCTGAAATTCTGGATTGAGCTCTACAATTGGTCTCCTTACGTTGACTTGTGTGAAGACACTTGACTCTTCGTAAGGAACACGAGTCGCATATAGGTATCTTGTGTCCTCAGGTGGGAACAATATCCACAGCTTCCTTTGGACAATAAAATGAACACAGACTGTAACAGAGTTCAACAACTCAGTTCTTTTGTCCAGAGTAAAGCCCCAACATCAGGAAAAGAAATGACCCAACATGGGACACGAGTGGGATGTCAGATTCTACCAGCCTTAACAATCCTGATAGAATATGATGAAGCTAGTTTACAGCTGCAAACTTTGATTGATAACGGTTAGCTTGTGTCATTATACTAAATGCTTTGCTTCCAGATTTGTAGTAATTATTGGATATTTACTTAAATTCAACCCAAAAAACCTAGCTTCACATTTCTTTTAAAAGAAAAAAGTTTGGAAACATAAAGTATCCACCTTTACAAAAGTATGGCTTGAGAGATAAAAAAAACTAGCAATTAAAAAAAATTCAGCTTACCACTAAGACACTCTATCAGAGCTATGAAAACAAATTTGCCAAAGATGCCATATGCATACTACCTTTTGTTTTGAACCAGAACTTCCATGCTCAACGAGCATTATCTTAAAATCTTTTGCTGTACCTAAACAACCATAGCAGAACACATAGAAGATTTTATTTTCAGTGGTTTTCAAGCCAAACTTTATCCTTTGTCATTTGCCACGGTTAACAAATCATTTTTTATGTCTTTGACTCTACCTTCCTACCAGCTGAGTGACCAGATTGAAGCCATAGGTGTCTTGATGACCAGGGGTGTTCGCACCTTCACTGCTCAGCCATATGGTGCTGTCCTTTCCATCAAAGTTGCCAAGTCCGAACTCTTTCCACACCACTGAAAGCAATCACATCAAAGCAATGCAGTGGACATAAAAATTCATTGGAACAAACAAAAATATATCTACCGTTGCCCTTGTGATAATACCTACTAACTTCAGCAGAGTAAATTTTACAGGCAAAACAAAAGATTTGTTTGGTTTCATCCAGGTTATTTGATTTTATTTCAAACATTTTTAGGAGCATTTTCAGTCAAAATTCAGACATGTCTATGTCTAAACATATGAAAAGGATAATTCAGAATTGATTAATCAAATACATTTTTGGGGGGGTAACATGTAAAATTTACCATCCTTATCACAAGGGTAATTCTGCTGTGCTAATTAGACTCTTCTCATAGCACATTCTTGTTCGTGAAATTTGCAAACTCCACAAAAGACTGCTTTACAATGAAAAGGGAACTTGACCTTGACTTTTTCTCTGCCATTTACAATTATGGGCTACTTTCTTTTTTTTTTTGTTGAAAAAATCTTTGCCACAATACCAGCAATTGTCAAATCACGTTTTTATATCTTCTCATCAAATGTTAAAGAACATATGCACAAAACTTAATACAGTAATGGGTTCCAAAATACGGTAAGCTTTAGACATTCTAACATCTCACTACATATGTCGCAACATGGAGGAATCAAGGAGCTCATCAATTTTTGGGCATATGGGGTTACTGGTATCATCTTAAAGCCTGCTCATTTGCCTTGCTTTGGTGAAAAAAATATCCATATATGTTAAATAGAAGTCGAAATAATTGCGATTGAAGGAGTCAGGGTCGCCTGGTTTCAGAAGTCAAATTAGCGAGAAAGTGGCCTCCGAAGTTTCATAATTTAAATAGCTTCAGAATCCTTGAAAACTGAAAATTGACATTTTTTGGTGCCATTAATCAATGTTTTTCATTAAAATTCACACAGAAATGTATTTTTAAATGAATACAAAATGTGTTGAGCCCCCCCCCCCCCCAAAAAAAAAAAACTACAACAAAAAAAACTGCCTAACAGTGAGAAAAATGCCAATTTCTTTGATTTCCCTACTTTGACCACGCCAGACTTCACCACAATGCCTCACATATTGGTGTCTATCTATATATAATTTTCAAGACACATGTAACAGATAAAGATTAATCAACTTCCTCCGGGGTCAGTGGTGTAGCCATTAGGCACTTCGTTGTCGCACGCAGGAGATCCGAGTTCGATTCCCAAGTGGGGAGAATTCTTATCGAGTAGCTCTGTCTTTCTGCAGGGAAGTTGTATTCCTCTCAGTCCAGGTTGGCCCTGACAGGTGGGGCCAGAAGCATACCTCCAAAATTATTTAAATTGTGCTGATGGGGATGTAAAAACACCTGTATTAAAAAGAAAAAGTACTTTTAATGAGACACAGACATACCCTGCTGAAACATCTGCGGGTGCTCAGAGAACACATCCTTCATGTACTTGTAGTCAATATAACAGGAAAAGTCTGTCCTAGGGTACTGGTCAAGATTGCTCTCTGTTGCTCGACCTCTGATCCACTGATGAAACTGATCAACAGTGACTCTTTCATGCATGCACTCAGTTTCCATTGTTCTACCTGAAAATATTATGTGAACACTCAACAAAATGGTAAGGTAAATCATGACGATTACACTAATGAAACATGGAAAAATTATTCACTAAAGACCTAACATTCATGCTGGTGAAAAAAAAATACCATAACAAGTATGACACAGCAACGTCCAGGGGAAGAAACTTGTATAGGCATGTTCTTTTTTTTTTATCGTAGAGGGTTTTACGGCGCTCGCAACTGCATAAGGTCATATGAGCGCCAAGGGGTGGATGTCAACAGAGAAGTCTTACAGGGAATCAGACTTAGACTGCTCACCTCTCTAGCTTCAACAGCACAAGGTCTGCTTCGGCTATCAAGGCACCCCAAAATAGCGGGTCACAAGAGAGTGACAAACATACAAAAGAAGTAGAGGAAAATGACAATAGTAAGGATCAGGAAAGAAAAAGCAGCAGTTCCCTGTTGTAGATCAGGCACAGTTATGAGCGTGACATGAGTCAGCCCATTTACAATTCTACTATGCTTGAATGAGAAAATCCCCCCTTTGGGAATGGCCTAAAGACACTTCAAGTCAGTGGCACTGCCCCTGGGGGTATGAGCATGTTCAAACACAGAAAAATGTAGAGCAGGACAGAAAAAAGTAGTGCTCATATTCAAAAGCAGAAAAACACCTGAAATTTTCGCTTTAAAGAGGGATGAGAAAGATGACTTCATCCCCGGTACTTGATCCTTCATTTGCTGTCAATACCATTGTAAAAAGGACGCTGTAAAAACCAAACTCCACCCTCAGACTAGTGGATCAGTAGGACCAATTTAAAGAGATGAAATACATATGTACATAACATAGGCCTACTTATTACTTTCACTCCTGTCTCATGCTTCTGTATACATAGAACTTTTCTTATTCATTTTTATGCTTTCGACACAATATCCATAGCAAATTATTGTTCTTATTTGATGTTTTTACTTAAGCTATGGGCCTTGGACTTTGCACTGTAATTTATCTGGTGTATCTTTTTTTTATCTAGGATATATAAGGAGGGCACTATCCCAGGTATAAAATATGGGGGGGGGGG